ACACATTATATGATCTTCGCCACCTTTCAAAATACAGAGATAGTCTTTGTTTTAACATTTGGAAGCAATTTAAATTTTTTGAAAAATTTAAATCGTTTAAATCTCAGTCTATTTGACCTTTGAGAGATTTCAAAACACATTGTATGATGTTCTCCATCTTTCAAAATACAGAGATAGTCCTTGTTTAAACGTTTGGATTCAATTTAAATTTTTTGAAAAATTTAAATCGTTTAAATTTCACTCTATTTGACCTTTGAGAGATTTCAAAACACATTGTATGATGTTCTCCATCTTTCAAAATACAGAGATAGTCTTTGTTTTAACATTTGGAAGCAATTTAAATTTTTTGAAAAATTTAAATCGTTTAAATCTCAGTCTATTTGACCTTTGAGAGATTTCAAAACACATTGTATGATGTTCTCCATCTTTCAAAATACAGAGATAGTCCTTGTTTAAACGTTTGGATTCAATTTAAATTTTTTGAAAAATTTAAATCGTTTAAATTTCACTCTATTTGACCTTTGAGAGATTTCAAAACACATTATATGATGTTCTCCATCTTTCAAGATATAGAAATAGTCCTTGTTTTAACATTTGGATTCAATTTAAATTTTTTGAAAAAATTTAAATCGTTTAAAATTCACTTTATTTGACCTTTTAGAGATTCAAAACACATTGTTTGATGTTCTACATCTTTCAAAATACAGAGACAGTCCTTGTTTTAACATTTGGATTCAGTTTAAATTTTTTGAAAAAAATTAAATCGATAAAATTTTACTTTCTTTGACCTTTGAGAGATTTCACCTCATTGTATGATGTTCTCCATCTTTGGAAGCAGTTTTGAATTTTTTAAAAAAATTTAAATCATTTAAATTTCACTCTTTTTGACCTCCAATAGACTCCAAATCACTCTCATTCATGTTCTCATTATTTTAGATGTCCTTGATTTCATATTTAAAGTCTTTTAAATTATTCCAAATTTGAAAATTTTTGAAGTTTTAAATGCTGTAATAAAAATTCATCAAGTAGGAGCTTACCGCTTTCAACATTAGAGGATATATCAAAATCTTACGATTTTAAAGGTTTTAAAATTTGAAATTACAGTATTCAAAACTTTCAATGATTTAAATTGAATACGCAAATTTTCATAATCACAGGTACATTATGAAATCACTATTTCCGACTTAATTGAATGTCCTTGCTTTCTTCTAGGTCACTGTGTATTAAACGTCGCTGAAGAAAATCGATAACTTATACATGGGCCGTCAAAATTCTCTAACACACCTGAGCTCATATTTTCTTAAAAATTTCACCTAAAATCAAAACAAATATACTGTAAGAAAGGTCACAGGAAGACCTATCAGACGGTGTAAAAAGTTTTAAAATCGGTCAAGAAATAAAAGAGTAAAGATTTTTTAAAAATAAAAGGATATCCGCCAAAGATGAAAGAGTACGGTCATCCACAAGTGTCCTTGATGATGAGTTTGACATGTCCTGTCAAAAAAAAGCTAACATACCTGAGCTCATATTTTCTTTATTAGTGCATTTACAAACAAAAGAAATACATTGTTGGAAAGGTCTCGTAAAGATCTATTTGATGGTGTATAAAGTTCTAAAATCGGTCAAGAAATAAAAGAGTAATGCTTTTTAAAAGAAATCAAAGGATATCTGCCAAAGATCAAAGAGTACGGTCATACGCAAGTGTCCTTGACAATGATTTTGACATGTCCTGTCAAAACAAAAGGCTAACTTACCTGAGCTCATATTTTCTTTATTAGTGCACTTACAATAAAACCAAATATACTGTTGGAAAGGTCTCGTAAAGATCTATTTGACGGTGTAAAAAGTTTTAAAATCGGTCAAGAAATAAAAGAGTAATGATTTTTTAAAGAAAAGTTCTTAAAGTACACTTGCACTCAAGTGACCTAACACACCTGAGCTTATATATTGTTTATTAATGTACTCACATGCAAAACAAATACATTTTTGGAAAGTTCTCGCCAAGATCTATTTTACAATATAAAAAATTTCATAATTCGATTAAAAAATTTTTTTTGAAAAATTTAACTTTAAAATTTGAAAAATTTAAACATCTTCTTAAAATTTCAAAAGTCAGGTGCACATGTCAAGGTCTCAATTCTATCATTCCTGAAAATTTCAAATTTCTATTTTGCGCAGTTTCTTCGGAGTAGGACAGACCGGAATTGCAGAAAAACGTCAAAAATACGTCATATTTCGCGACCGGAAGTGAAATCATCAAAAATGAAAAAAACGTCCCGAGGGAACATCGTTCCCTATCATCTCCGAAAGTTTCATAAAAATCCACCGAACCGTTACTGAGATACCGGTGTAGGAAAAAAAATAATAATAATAATAAGAAAAAGAAACAATACAATAATAGAAGGGTCTTCCGCTGAAGACGGAAGACCCTAAAAAGAAACAATACAATAATAGAAGGGTCTTCCGCTGAAGACGGAAGACCCTAATAATAATAAACAGAAGAAAATCAATAGGTCTTTCCACAGAAAGGTGGAAAGACCTAATAATAATAATAATAAACAGTACAATCACTATAAGGTCTTCCGTATGAAACGGAAGACCTTAAAAAGAAGAAATGGTAGAATCACTATAAGGTCTTCCGTCTGAAACGGAAGACCTTAATAATAATAATAAGAAACGTTGAAAACGGAAGACCTAATAAGAAACAGTGGAATCACTATTAGGTCTTCCTTGAAGACGGAAGACCTTAACAAGGCTATCTTTAAAAAATTGTCTTTAAAAAAAATCTTCCGATCAACTGACTAAAAATGGCCCGACTCAATTTTTTTTTTTTTTTTTTTTACATTTCAGGACACAATATTTTTTTCTTTTTATTCCTCTTATCCTGTCAACAAATATATTGAAATTTTCTGGTAAAAAGATTTTCCCACCTACCTACTGACTCGGTAATTTTACCCTGAGTCGGGAGAGGACAAGCAAACATTATTTTAAAGATGTCCCAATATTGTTTTTCTTAATTTTTTTTTATTGCACATATGCTGCAGTCTTTACAACTGTGCAAAAGACTACATGATTGGTAATGGTAATACAAGTGTTATACATGAAACATATGGAAAGTTACTGATTCAAAATTGAAAGACTACTTTGGATATATCAAACCCCTGGATATATCGAAGTTTCATCCAAGTCCCTCCAAATTCGAGATACTGATATTCCACTGTACATGAATTTCAGTGCAAAAATTTGTTGAGGCCATCATTAAAAATATCTTTGTTTCCCCTAACCCAACCCTTAAATCTCTAGTTGGGTAAGTAGGTAGTTAAAATTTTTTTTTTTCAGACAACAGCTTTGAAAATTCCTTCTGAAATTTAATGGAATAATACCTTTATAAATAAGAACAGTATAAAAGAAAGTGATTTATAAACAGAATATCATATAAATGCCGTTGAAAAGCTAAATTCAAGGTAAATTAAATTCACAGGTATTCTTCAGTTGAACTTGTAAAATACATGTACGTATCTCACGCCAGTGTAAATTTATTGAAATCCAATATTTAATAAGAGAAGATTCTCAGATACGCAAAACCAGACATTCGAGTAATTTTCAAACCTACTATCAGCTTCCAGTGCTTAATGCAGTGTACTTTTTCAATATTTAATTGAACCAAACCATATCTAAAAATGATAAATAGGCCATACACAATGTCATAGTCACAAATAAAAGGCATGAAGAAAGGACGTCTGAATTATATTCATCAGGATGAAATATGCAGACATATTTACAACTCCCATGTAACATAGATGAACTGTTTATTAGATCAAAACTCAAATTAAATAAAATGCAGTGAAATTGATTGATGTGTTCACAAGGTAGGCCCCTCGTCTGCTCATGAGGTGGGCCTTGTCATGTACTTATAATTTTTTTTATAAGCACCTTAATTTCAAAAGACAGGATTGCAAATACCACCAAAACACTCTGAATTAGTTATGGTATATTTTATTAATGAAATTTTCAAGTGTGTAGTGTTCAAATAAGCTAAAGGCATAAGGTTGATACGTCGCCGTTGTTTTGTAACACGAATAAAGTATTCCTCTGTGACCAAGTTATGGGCATGATTTTGCTTCCAACAAAGGATTGAAAATCACAGTAAAGCAATATCGGCCATTCTGATAAAGCGGATTTTGATGAAATTGTATTTTATAAAAATTAATAATCATTAAAAAAGAAATATTTGAATAATCTTATTTAAAAAAACTTTTCAGTCGGCACGATTTAATTGGGTCAGTCGGTAGGGGAAACAAAGGTATTTTTTATTTTGGCCTGAATCTTATGGTTTAGATATTAGGGCTGCACAATAATATCGATATTCTGATATATTGCGATTCGTTACCAAAAAATATTGTATTGCGATACATTTTTTCAGTACCGATATACCAGCAAACTGCTAGGACTTTTAATTTCTTTAGTAAAATATGAAATTTAATAGGTTGGAAACATTTTCAATTATGCCAAAGAGTTCCAAATGGTAATGTTGCTGTTGTATGGTTGCATTTCGTTCCAAAACTTAGTGAAATCAACAAGAACTTTTTGTCACAATGTTTTTATAAGAGTTTTAAACTTTCTTCTTATAGATGAAGGTTAATAAAATAAGAAAAAGAGCATTTTAACTGTCATAGAAAATATTGCAATACATATCACAATACAGATAAAAATATTGCAATATATGGCAATACAAAATTCCCAGCCGATACCCAGCCCTATTAGATATCAATTGATAATGTAAGATGAAAAATTTTGCTAAATTTAAATCATTTTTTCACAATTTACTGGGGCTTATAAGAGACTTGTTCTTTAAAATGCATGTGTATCTTCAAAAGAGACCTGTCATTGTGATGTTTTTGTTTTTTCTTCAAATTAAAACTACCAATCAGAATATATGAGTTAGTGTTATACTCAGCAATAAAGTCCTATCATTAATGTGGCATTCTTATATTATCTAGGAAGGGCTGCTGTTCGGAAAAGTCACTCAAAGAGTAAAAGATACTATTAGTGATTCTCAAATCAATAACTATAAAGTGGAAACAAAAACATGTAAGTAAAGCAAAAGGAAATTTTGTCAACATTCTGCAAATCAACATCAGGTTTATTAGCTCACCTTAGTTAAAAGCTCAAGTGAGCTTTACGGATCACATTTTGCCCATCGTCTGTCTGTCCATCTGTAAACTTTTCACATTTTCGACCTCTTCTCCAGAACCAAGGGGACAATTTCAACCAAACTTGCCACAAAGCATAAATTATAAAGTCTTCTTGGAGGATGGGAATTCAATTTTGTTTAAATAAAGGACCATGTCCTCTTCCAAGGGGAGATCATCAAGAAAATGCAAAAAAAAAAAAAAAAAAAAAAAAAAAAAAAAAATCTAGAACTACTGAGCCAGAAAAGAAAAAAACTTATCTGAAAGTTTTCTTACATATTTCAGTTCAATATTTTTAGCTCTTCTGAGCCAAAGGCTCAGAGAGCTAATGTTATTGCCATTTGTGCAAGGTGCATCAACTTTTTGGAATATGAGCCATATTTCAAGAACCCCTTGGCTAATTTTTGTCAGTTTTATCTCAGAGTATCCTGGTTTGGCCCAAAAGATACATAAATATAGGAATGTGACTCTCAAACAAGGGGAGATAATTTTCAAAAGAAAGAAAAAGTATCTGTTACTGAAAAAAAACTTCTCAAGAACAACTTGGCTGATTATCACCAAACATATGCACAAGGATATGTTGAAGACGAAATTAAAATTAAAAATGTTCAAGGCATCACTGTGGGCAATTTTGCAAACTACATGTATAAGAACTAGGATCATCAAATCTTGTCAGTTGATGCCTCTTAGGACTACATATCATTAACTAAGTAGTAGATCACAGTGACCTACATTTTGGATTTTGCAGATGTTTTTGTCTATTTAACTAATTCTGTTGGTCTGTAATGTCCTCGTCCTCATTATGGAAATATTCAGATAATCTTAAACGTCTAGTGTATGCCTTGACATCCGTTTTTAATTCCTGATTCCCTAGGCGCCAACTTTAAAGCTTCATGTCTTCCTTATTTTTCAATGGATTTTGTTCAAATTTTCAGGTCGTTTAGATTTTACAAAACATTTTTCCAGTAACGACTACATTTCAGAAATTCCTTTCCACTTATGAGTTATTCCCCTTTGATTGAAATTTTAGGGGCATTGGTTTCCAGACAAAGGCTCCAAGACTATAATAGCTGGAGCACAAATACTATTGAAATTGAAAAGAATAAACATTGTAGTTGTGCACATCAGTTTTTATTTGTTGATTTCTGCGTTCAAAATGGTGCTGGGGGGGGGGGGGTTGGGGGTTAAAAATTAGGACGTCTGAGAGCAAAAATTTAGACATATTATACTTTGTTTCTTTTAAACAAAAAATATTTTGTTAAGACATGTAGAATGAAAGTTGTGCATAATTTCAATAGCTTTCATTTGACTTCACTAAAAGGGGGCTGGCCCCTAAAATTAGGGATCTATGGCCCTTGAAAGTTTTCATTTAATAACTCAAAAACGGTAAATATTTCAACATGACTTTCACTAGAAAAGTTATTCTTTAACATCTTATCCTGAAAAAATTTTTTTGTTCAGAGTATTGTGTAGTATGGGAGAAAAAAAGCTAGAACCGTACACAAGTAAGTTTTCATTCGGCAAGTAAACAAGAGCCCTTCGTGCGTTTAACTAAAATAGACTTTAAATAATATACCATTAGATGCTAACATTCTTTAAAAGAATGTTCTTTAAGTGTTCTGTGCTTCATTTACAAATCATTTACTGACAATTTTCCTCTTTTTAGATGGCACAAGCTATTGCTGCCACTCTGAGCTATGAATAAACAACAGTGTAAAATCACGGGAACCCTAGCGGCAATTTTTTGCAGAGACAAAATAATGAAAGTTGGGTTGTTTTGATGTTCAAAAATAAAATGTACATGGTTAACAAATATTCTCAAGTTATTTCAATTACATTTTGTTGATGGGCGCAAAGTTTAATTCCTGATATATGCCTTTATAATATTTCTCACCTTATGAATATTCATTAAATTACGCCAACTTACAACTAATATGTACACAAACCGATTTGTACGTAAGGAGTCAATTCGTATGCAAATGAAAGAAGTTAATTTGTACACAAAGTTTACTGTTTTGTGAACATGAAACAAATGTGAAAAGTTAATTCATACACACGGCCTTTTTTTTGCGTTGTGTAAATGCAATATAGTAAAATTTACTAAAAGTCAAAAAATCAAAAAAAAAAATTTTATGGATAATGGTTATAACACCTTACCAATAATGATTGTTAAACCAACACACTCTCAGTGGTTTCTTGGATATGCAACAAACGCTAATTATAAGATTTTTTAATTTGGTATTCCCTTATTATGAGATAATCCATGCTTGGAAAGCATTGATCACCAAATTTCTCCGTTTCTGAAAATTCAATTAGGCTAAGCATGGTTCGAGGGCTGCGTATTCCTAATTGCAGAACTGCATGTTTTTTAAATGTTTTATTTGAGACATTTTGTGGATTTTTAATATAATACTTATACAGTTAATTGAAATTTTACGGTGTCTTTTGATTATTTGAATTTCTAGTATCTGTTGACAATACTTTATTAGATAAGATATATTTTTGGAATGGAAAAAAAAAATCAAGACCTCTTAATAAAAGTTTGCATAAAAGAGAGTTGTTGAAGGCAGGAAAAATGCCATAAAATTTGCAAAGTTTATTATGGTTCTATCTAAACAAAAACAACCATTGTCTAATTATCTCGATCACAAAAACTACTGAACGGATGCTAATTTGTCAAATCTATAATTACAAGACTGTGATAGACATAAGTTACCCATATATTTCATTTGTATTTGAAAATTTTATTGTGCCTCAAATAAAATTTACCCTTTAAAAAGTGTAAGAAAAAAAACTACATAAATACATGTACATGAAATATTAGGATTTTCTTGTGAATTCAGTAGGCTTAATTTAGGTCAGTCTTCTCCTGCATGTGTTTCCAAAACTTCTTATTGCACAGTGACTAGCAGGGTCAGTGCATATTAAGATTACGTAAGAGAAATAGAGGCTGAAAAATATTTTGTTATTCTGTTCTTCTGTTTTTTTGCCCCCAGATCGAAATATCCCCGGGGTATATTGTTTTTGTCCTGTCTGTCTGTCTGTTTGTCTGTCTGTTGTCAACTTTAACCTAGCCCATAACTATTGCGCTGTCAAGGGTAAGGCTTTAATATTTGACATGAGTGTTCATTATGACAAGAACTTTCCTTCGGTACCACCATATATGACCTTTTGACCTTGACCTTGGAGTTTGACCCAGTTTTGCAAAATTTTACCAAACTTTAACCTTGGCCATAACTTTTGAATGGTTGGTGCTAGGGCTTTCATACTTCACATGTGTAATCCTTGTGACAAGACCTTCCTTTAAATACCAACAACTTTGACCCTTTGACCTTGACCTTGGAGTTTGACCTACTTTTTGAAAACTTTAACCTTTGCAATAACTTTTGAACAGTTGGTGCTTGGGCTTTCAAATTTCACATGTGTTATCCTTGTGACAAGACCTTCCTTTGGATACCAACAACTTTGACCCTTTGACCTTGACCTTGGAGTTTGACCTACTTTTTGAAAACTTTAACCTTGGCCATAACTTTTGAACGGTTGGTGCTAGGGCTTTCATACTTCACATATAAGTGTTATGTTAAATACTCAAAATGTTGAAAGTGAAAACACTTCAAAATTGACTACAGAAAACAACCAAATAGACCCTAAAATATTAAATTTGTCCAACAGAGAACTTACAGAAACAAAGATAAAATAATTGCTAAAGGGTTAAAATAATGCCAACACCGCAGGCTAATAATCAGGAATTAAAAACGGATGTCAAGGCATACACTAGACGTTTAAGATTATCTGAATATTTCCATAATGAGGACGAGGACATTACAGACCAAGAAGAAAATGATCTCGTAAGAAATAAATCATCATTTAATCCGAAAAAAGGTAGGAATCGGACACTTGATGCTGTCTGTGAAACACTTGAAAACATTTCTTTACCTGTGAATTTTCATCAAATAAAAGCAAATCTTTCTAAAGAGGAGGAAAAAGCACTCAAAAATCTTTCAAAGGATCCAAATATCGTGATCAAAGAGGCCGACAAAGGGGGCGCAGTTGTAATTATGAACAAAGATTTTTACAAGGGTAAAATTTTGGACATGTTGCAGGATAACAACTTTTACAGACAAATTAATGGAAATGATGATAGAAAAACCATGAAGAAAATAAAGAATCTAATTCATGGACCCCTATGCCCAGACGTAACAGAAAAGGAGAAGGACTATCTAACCAATTTCGACTTCCACGAAAGCCAGTTCTATGGGCTACCTAAAGTTCATAAATATGCTATAATAAAGGAAGCTATCAAAAGTCAAAATATGGAATACATTATCTGCCCAGATCCAGTAGACCTGAGTTTCAGACCGATAGTTGGAGGACCTAATGCACCTACTCAGAGACTCAGTCAGTTACTGGATATTCACTTAAAACCTCTCTGCAAGAAGGTAACTAGCTATGTTAGGGATGATCTGGACTTCCTCAACCACCTACCTAGTAAGTAATGTTAATGAAGATGCAAAACTTGTTACCTTTGATGTTGTTAGCTTATACACAAATATACCTACAGAATTAGGTATACAGGCTGTCCAGTTTGGGATGGAAAAATACCCCAATATGATCAACAGCAGATTTCAACCTGGTTTTATTTTGGAAGGATTAAAATTAGTACTTAATAACAATACTTTTGCATTTGCCGAAAACCATTACATCCAAACTAAAGGCACGGCAATGGGTACTAAGGTAGTGCCAACATATGCAACCCTAACTTTAGGCTATCTTGAAACGATACTTAAAAGTGAACTTATCAAAGTTTGGGGAGAAGAATTTGCTAACTTGATAGAAGAAAACTGGAAAAGATTTCTGGACGACTGCTTCATTATTTGGCACGACGATATGGATAAATTA